GGTTTTATTGATTAGGTTTGTTAACAACAGTTATGATGTAGGTTTTATTGATTAAGTTTGTTAACAACAGTTATAATGTAGGTTTTATTGATTAGGTTTGTTAACAACAGTTATGATGTAGGTTTTATTGATTAAGTTTGTTAACAACAGTTATAATGTAGGTTTTATTGATTAGGTTTGTTAACTGCTATCTTAATGTTAATTGTTAGCTTTTGTTCCCGTTAAGTTTCAAGATAAAATCTTTAAATGTCGTTGTGCAAGGTTATTATTACATTATTATAGATATGATTGAAAAAAGTGTTAAAAAATAGATCATTTAAGTGAATTACTTATTGTGTGATGCGTTTAAATACTAGTGGTGCAGATAACCTTTTGTTATTTAGAAAACAGCAGTGATTGGCTTCTATACGTGATGTTATAGATTAGCTAAGTAACAGTCAGGATTGATTATAACCATTTTCTAAACCTTCTTAATATTACCTGAAGGGCATGTAATGACAATTTTTATAATTGACTTACATTTCGTTCATTTTTTAAGATAAAACAGTTTTCAGTACATAGCAAAAATAGTGAATTATGCTAAAAAAAAATGGTGGTTTTTTTCTATTCGTTTTTCTGATATTTTGGGTGCTTTTAGCCAAACTGTTATGCCAAGATTATCACAGTGGAAGGACAGAAAAAAAATTGTGATCTACTCAAAACAACCCATCAACGTCAATGAAGAAATAACATATGACTACAAGTTCCCCATTGAGGAAGAAAAGATTCCATGTGACTGTGGTGCCCCCCAGCGTAGAGGTTACCTCAACTAAAGATACCATATCACTAATCCAGACCATTTCATCTCTAGTTAAACTGTCGTCCGTCTTTAACATTTTGATGCTTTGAATGTTATTTTGTTTGAAAAAAAAAAAATACTTGTAAACTTTTTTTTTTTTTTTCCCTTCTGCTGTACATTTGTAGTTAATGTTACAATCTCATCTATTTGAATGTTGGTGTTTTTCTATTAAGAAATGGAAGAAAAGTAGATGTTTGGTAAAATTCTTTTAAAATTGAATTTTATCGCAAGTATGCAGTATAAGATTGTAGTAGATAAAAAAAAAACATTTTAGCAAAATTATGATAATGCAAATGATATTTGATGCAGAACAAAAAAGAGAAAAATGAGCATTGTGTATAAACTGTAAATATTTTCATTAACTGGTTGTTGTTGTTTTGTTTTTTTTTTGAAATATTCACCGAATCAAATTAGTTGTCCATTCATTTGCTAACTTTGTAAGTATTTTCCTATAGTATTGCAAGAATGGTTTAATGAGTTTTTATTTGAAAACTTCTGGCATTGTAAGAACCATCGTGACACAAAAACCTTAAGCACTAAAAGGACTTTTGCAAAAAAAAACAAAAAACATTCAGGTTGTGATAACTGGAACCTTTTAGCAGTTTTTTGTTTTGTGTATAACTTTTCATAGAAAAATCACTTTAATATAAGTGAGTTTATCGCCTAGGGTATAGCAATGTTGCTGTTAATATAATCAATATCATCTGATCCATGTGTACATAAATCATGCTGATGTTCAGTGTCGGGTTTTACTACTGTTGTGAGCATAATCTTTGTAACCATTTTGTGTCTCTTAAACGAAGCCATTAAAACAACTTGGATAGATTCATAAACCAGGAAATCTTGTCGTTTCAAGTCGTAAACAACACGAAACGTCCGTCCGTCTTAAACACTTTCCACACTGTTTTGTAATCCTCCACATTTTTTGACTAACTATAATTTTTACATCAGACAGTTACTTTCCAAATTACTTTTGTGTTTAAAATTATTTTCTCCATTTTTGAAGACTATTAATTAATTATTCAGAAAGAACTGTTTAAATACCGAATAAGAATCTTTTTAACATTTTCACAAATAAAATATACGTAATAAATACCTGGGATTGATACAGTGTTCTTACAACAATATAACACTTATCACTTAATTGATGTGGAATTTAATTTTTCTTGATGTTTACTGGTTTAATTATTATATTGAAATCCCTCCATTAATTAGAAAGCACCCTAGGACTGCCGTAAACTTAGACAGGAGCTATTTCCATGTGATCTTATTATGAAGACTTCCTTGATTTCTTTTAATTAAATCAATTTCAATAAAGTTCTCGGACAGATTTTGTTAGACACGGGATTTTTCATTAAAGTACTTTCTATGATTTTATCTGGAATAATAATCAGGACAGTATAATTGAAACAGGTTTTTAATGACTTCATTCTTCAGGAGTTTGGTTGGAAAGATGAGCATAAAGTAATAAATCCCTTGTTTTTGTACCTATTCCATTTAAGTATACATCCTCCGACTCTGCACTCGGATGCTTTTGGAGTAATTGAAAAGTTAAGTTCAAGCATTGGAGTATTTGTTTCCGATAAATCTCAATCATTTAAATAATGCTATTACACCTTGAATGCTTATAATTCTCAAGTTTTCACCTCACTGCCTATCTTTTATTGTTGGAAGTTGTGATATCGTAGGGGTGATACTGTGTCCTATTTGAAGTAAGTATTTTTCTGAAAAACTGAGAAATTAGATCACTGCTGGATCCTATAAAGATGTCCCGATTTATGGCATGGTGGTTGGGGTGTTCAACTCGTAATCGGTGGGTTTGGTTCTTTTCGTAAACCATACTTGCCCTTCCAGCTGTGAGAGCACTTATAATGTGACAGTCAATCCCACTTTTTGTTAGTAAAGATTATTCCAAGAG